AAGTCCAGGTGCACAGCTCCCACCGCTCCCCAGTGCCAGACAGAGGTGGACCCCGAGGGGAAGACCAGGCGCTTTCCTTCCTAACTCACAGGTGGATTCAACACCATCCGCAGCCGTCCCCGGAGCACGCCGCGCCTCCGCCAGACCCTTCCTTAACCACGGCGGCACACAGACCAGAGACAGGGGGGAAGGGCATTCAGCACCAAGAATAGGAGGCACTTTTTACACACCACCCACGCCATGTTCTCCGTGGGCTTCTCTCAACTACATCACTGGCTTAATCGACCACGGGCTGGTGGGGCTGTGGGCCGAACAGCCTCCTCTCTTTTCTCACTGTTCCTCACGACACGGGGGGGGGGGAATCTGTGCGTGAGAAAGTTATACCCTAGAGGAAACACAAAGTAGAAAGAAACCCTGGTAGTAGCCCAAGTAGCCAACCCTGGTCCCAGAGACCTGCAATCCCCGCCTTTCCAGTCCCCCTCAAACCCATCCGTTTGTAAAGCATGCACTTTGACAAACTGCAAAAATTAATGTTAAATAAAAGCATCCAGACAACAGAATCTGGTAGCCAGCCCATAACCGCCAGCATGAAGTGCAACATGAAAAAAAAAATCGAAGTCACGTCCTAGCACGTATATTAAAAACTGGGTTTACCTGAATCTAATATGGGATCAGAACTCTCAACAATTCATAAATGCGGGTCTGATGTCCAGCTGCAGAAGCTGGATCCCAACAGGGCTCAGCCGGCAAGCCCAGCTCTCTCTCGCTGCAGAGCCACACTACAGCGCGGCAGTTACCCGAAACCGCCTGAACCCATCCGGTGGCGCTGTCGAGCGCACTGCCGGGGGGCACCAGCGCAGGGACGTGCAGAAGCGAGGATGCCGAAAGGATGCCACGGATGTTACATGGCTTCACAGTACAAACCGATTACTGCGGACGGGGGCGGCCTGGCGTCGAAATATCCTACCTAGACTTAGCCGAAACCCCCCCCAAAAAATCGAAATGAAACCCGCAAAAACAAAAACGAGCGAACTACTGCTATTTTTTTCACTTCGTAAAAGTGGGGAAGGTGGGGGAGGGGTGGTGGTAGCCGATCGCCCAAATGTAATTTTCCGCCAGTAAAGATCTTAAAGAAAGATTAAAGGCGTTTTTTTTTCCATTAAAAGATCTTTAAACCGTTTCTCCGGTAATGAGGCCTCGGCCCGGGGACGTACTGCTTCAATCCACGGACGTACCGCAGAGACCAGGCAAGCACTGGTTAACTCCAGCAGCGCAAACAACTCAGGCGCCTGGACTCTCACCGCCACCGTTTCCTCGGGTGAACTCAAGTAAAGCAGCGAAACTCAACCCCCGGACAGTTTAAACGAGGCTGTTAACGGAGAAGAAAAAGTGAAACCGACCGACAGTACTCACCGGTATCGCCGTCTGCCCTCCCCTCCAAACTCACAACTCAGTCCGCACTTAAAATAGGGGTCCAGCATCTAAATAAAAATCACCGCTGCGCCTCGGAAAACGCGCGAGCTCCGAATACAGTGTCTGCTTTGAAGCAATACAGGCAGGTAAGCTGGTTACAGGACGAGGTAAATTAACGAGCCCTCTACTTACTCCCTCCTAGAAAATTACTGCACAACTAGCCGCTCCTACTTCCCGCCTGCTAATTCAAGTCCGACGCGAACCGCAGTGCGCAGGCGCACGACTACACCCCGTCCTTGGCATTGTGGGATATGGAGTTTAAAGATGGCGGCCTCTTTCAAAACGCGTTCCTATTTAGTTCAGAACGGGCTTTTCCGTCATTTTCAGATGGCGGATCCATGCTGCTCAAAGGGCACTTCAAATGAAACTTTCACCACTGTTAGAAGTGCGCTTTTGCTGTATTTTGCGGGATGTAAATGCAGAAATTATCCGATTCAGCCTCAAAGCAGGGGTTCCCCAGTCTACAGACCGAAAACATTTTGCACCAGGGGTTGTTTTCAGTCATTTGAAAAGTGGAATCTTGTACCTTATAAGAGTTAAAACTGGGAAGGGCGCTTTTCTGTTACAGAATAACTTTTCTGTGACTGCGTTAAATTAAACCTTTGTCTAAAGTTTTATCAAAATGTTGTTTCCATGTTACTCATGTCGAAATGCACGACCGAACACTTCTAAAAAAAACTCCAAGTCCCAGAGCGCATTGCGACGCAAAGGGAATGTGTCGGCGATCCATGTTAACCATGCGTTTTTTAAAATCTAAGGTCAAATTAAAATATAGTCTGAAAAAATTGGAATTATTTTCCCATAAACACGCTTATTGTCCTTTTACGTTTTCACTGGGTCTTTTCCTTGCATGGCATCATACCAATATCCTTAAAAATGTTTTTTTTTTACAATTGAGTCCTGAACTTATAAATAAAAACACGACTCGCATCACTCGAATTAATACACGAAGGCAATACATTAAAGATTAATTATAGTGTTGGAGTATTTTAGAATACGACTGCATCGTGACATTTATACAGAGAGACACAAAATCAATTTAAGTCCCACTAACCACTGCACAAAGTAAT